TCACATTAGATACAAGCAAGCCATGGATTCAGAGTACTCTGACTCTTATGTAAGTAAACATTCCAAGAAGAACACCTCTGCCCCGTCTTCACTCTTCACTAAGATTTATTACTCTGCTCACTAAGACTCCACATTTGCAAATAGCCTTATCTGCAGTCATGTTCAGTCTGGCTATCTACATACCTTTTATTGCTATCTATAAACAAGTGCTCTGAAGGTTGCTGCGCAACGTCACGTTTAGATTTTAAATATCAAGAAAGCAGAGTAATACAATTCAACCAATTTGTTTCATTATTGAAAATTACTTGTACTAATAGTTTGTGTTGAACCATCCCCCTCCACACACACACACATGCGAGCACCTCCTCCTAGAAGTCAGTAGTATGACATACTTAGCATTCTTTAAATTCAAGCATGTCTGATCTGTATTGTTCTACATCTCCATACCTTCGTGGTATGCTCAGTATGAGGTTAGTTTCCTTGTTACACATTTCACTTGATTCTTGCCACTCAGTTGTTTTATATATTTTATAGTGAGTGGATGCCACAATTATTGTCCCTTTTTATTAAATAGGAGATGTACTGGGGTACCCTTGGAACAGTACGACCCTACTCCAATTTCCACCCTGACAGAGATGTGACGGAGATCGTGACAGCACTGGAAAACAAAGGCATTCTTTGGCATATGTTGAAAATAAATTCCCACGATTTCTTTCCACCCTTTTCCTGGTAATTTATTGAATATCGTGTATCTTGCTCAGACACAGTGACGCTACTGAGAATACTAACCAATAGGAACAACCCCCAGAGGCAAGTAATTGCTCAGGTCTTTCAGGAGCTAACACATAAGGTGAGAAAATAGAAACGGTAACAACCTTTTCAAAGAGTTTCGAAATTAAAACTTTAATGGTTTTGTGGAAACCATGAAATGTAAAGTTGTCTCCTACAATAAAATATATTAAGCAATGAAACTGAAGTTTCAGTTTGAGGTTTAGTAGTTACAAAAGTTTAGCCTTGCTCATCTGTAACTTTGAAGTGTTTGCTGATCAAATAATGAAAAAACGGTGACATTAAAGGTGTGAACACACCTTTGTTTAGCAACTTCAGAACTACTGTCACATGCCCAACTGTAGTGTGTCTTACGGGGAAAGAGTACACCATAGTGTGATAGTCAGGCAGGTTTTGTGTGAATCCACTTCCAATCCCAAGTGTACTGTGGGGTTTTTCCATTAGTCAGAGGTTTTGTTCTAGATTATTTACTGTTTCTTTACTAAAACAACTTAACAAGAATTACAAAAAGAAAACTGGGAGTGAAACTCTGAGTCAAGTCAAAATAAGACTTAATTCAGTGTTATTTTATTTATGCATGTGGTGAATTAGGATATAATAACTGCTCTGAAGAAAGCTTTATCTGGAGACCTGGTGCTTCTTTTGGTGGAACTGTTGATGACCCCCGTGAAATATGAAGCTTACCGTCTCCAGGAGGCCATGGCGGTGAGTGGTTGCTTTCATCTTTAGGATTTTGGAATAGATGGTAAAACTGTTGTATATCAAGAAATGTGCATGGTATGTGTGTGCAGGGTTTGGGCACAGATGAAGAAACGCTTGCGGAAATTCTGAGCACAAGATCTGGAAAGCAGCTGCAAAACATCAGTGCTGGATACAAAGAAAGTAAGTCAAAGATCTTTTATGATACTTTTTTTTTAAATGACCAAAAAGATTAGATGTTTAAATCCTAATCCTTCTTTTTCTTTTTGCTCTTTCTGTTTTAGTGTATAAGAAGGATCTGGAAAAGGAAATCGAATCGGAAACCAGTAATGACTTTGAGAAGCTTCTTAAAGCTTTGCTACATGTAAATATTTATGTCATTGATCATCACCTTTGATTGAATTATAATTTATATAACTTTAGCCTGTATATAACTTTCACTGGGAACACAAACAGTACAGCACATATTTGAAATTAAGTCCAGCTTTTGAAATTATAGTTCCTCTTGTTTTTTTCTTTCACCTCCTCTCATAACAGAAAGGATGTGTCGCTGGTGTGGTTCAGACAGACATTGAGGTATTATTTACTTTTATGTACAAACATAACTAAAAGGCACTGGAGTAAAAAGTGTTGTTTTAATACATTAAACCATATACATCTACTGACTACTTGATTCTGAAATAGTTGAAACAAAACTGTATATTTTTACTCCTTTAACCCTTAATGTGTTTCATTGTTATTATGTCTGATCATTTAGACTCTCTCTGCATCCCTAAAAGGGAAGAAAGCTGAGGCAGGACAATGGATTGACATATTGACTTCTAGAGATGTAAAACATCTTGACAACGGTGGCTGTCCCTTTTTTAAAAAATTCATTAATCTTTCTGTGTTAAAAAGTGTTTTGATTTAGTTTTTAAATCCCAATATCTTCATCCACCCCGACCTTGTGCATGATTGACAGTGTTGATGGGACTGGAGCTGGAGCTCGGGCAGACGGTGGATCAGATCATAGAGAAAAGGTTTTCAGGAGACTTTCGCTTGGGTCTGAAAGTTTTGGGTAAACACAGTTTGACATACTGTTTGAACATTTATTGTGCACTTCATACCATTATTAGGTGGAGACCCAATATTATCCTAATATTTGTCTTATCACAGTACAGTGCATTCAAAACCGTGATGCCTACCTTGCCACGAGACTTAAGACCATGAAGGTGAGACGATTTTGTGGTAATTTATCTATGATAGAAGTTCATAGGACAAAATACAGCACTTGTCCTAAACTACAGATATTTTGGGAGAAGATTTCAAAACTACTCAAAGAGGGATTCGGCCAAAATTCAAATACCAGAAGGCACTCATGGAAGAACTACGTAATATGTAACAGTTGGCTGGAGGACATATGGGGGTTATATCACACAGAACAAATGACATACTGTCTGATAGGTTTATCAAATGATTGAGTCCAGCTAGGGTGCTCCTAACATATTGCACTTACACTATACTTACAAATCATCCATTATTTTGTAATTTGTATTCTTTCCTTATTTTTAATATATTGAAACGGTCTGTTTTTAATTACATATATATAAAAAATAAATAAAAGAAACTGAAGAACTACGAGAGGTTATTACCAACTTACCAACTTGTGTCTGGTTGTTAAATCGCTTCAGAGTTCCTATTAGCA